GTTGGATAATTTGAAAAGTAAATAAGTTAAAATATCATCTTAAACGCAAGATCTGTCAGAATTGCTGATATTTACATGCATTGCCCGGGCTTGTTATTACAGTGTGCATGACTAAGATTGCAATCTGGAGCGCAAACAGCTATAATAAAAGGGAGATAAGTATTAAACGTCAATTAGAATAATAAATTAGACAAGAAATTACGTCAACAGTTGCATTATAAGATAGCCATTATATGATGATCGTGAAGAACAAGAGAGTTACAAAAGTAATCGTGGCATACTCTATTGTATATTGCTATAAAATGGCTAGTAATTAGATTGAATTAATACAGTAATGTCTTTTATTGAAGTAAAGTTTTTTTCGTGCAAAGTAAGTCCTATCAAATTGACGGCAATAAATGGAAGAGTGTACCTTTTTGGCAGTTATTAGATATTGCTTAAATCAGTTCTATACGGTAATATTTATTTAATAAAGTTTAGGTACTACTGGATATAATTCAGTTTAATTACTAAAAATTCATCAGTAGATAGCTTGAGCTTGGACTGCAAAAATTGATATACAGTCTATAAAGAATTATATTGTATATTGCCCATTAACTTACCTGATTCACAGTATTGACCAGTCCAATTTGAATCGCACTGATACTGAAAACTGATAGTCAATGCTGACACAGGTAATGCAGGCCTTGTACCTAGCAATTTATAAGTTTGGGTGCTGTTGGCTTCGACGGAAACACTGGAATTGATCCTATCTACGTGGTTTAAGTTCTTATTCACTCTATCGAAAACCTCAACATGGACACTCAAGTTCTCCTAAATGACAAAATAAGTATACAAGCGATTTTAAATTTATCATTATTTCTTATCATGATAGAGATAGGTAAGTGTTAAGTCCTCATTAGTTATTTAGTTAATTATGGTGATGAAATGAAAGACAAGTTTTCAATATAAGTAGAGGTGTTAGTAACGATTTTGTAGATTCATGTTATGATTTAGCAGACAAGTTTATACGAATTATATCAATATTTCATTTTATGCATGACTAAAAGTGATATTGAGAAAATCTGTAGAACCATCATAGAATTCAATTTCTCAATAATGGAACAGAATAGACAAATCGATAAATATAAGACCAAGTAAAGGTTTTAAATTAGTTAATTCGGAACTAATGAAAATTTTTTTATGCTATCTTATATTTATTATCGCATCTAGCACAGTAGCGGCATTTTTATCACCTTAAAACTTGGATAAAAGTAATTCAACTTATTATATCTGCTATGTAGAAATTGGAATATTTATTGATATGAAAATCGTAAACAGGAATAATATAAATGCGACTAAAATTAAGTTTATGATTTTTAGTTTTGCTTAATACTGTTATAAATTGGGAATAAGAAAAACTCCTAGTTAAAGAACTATCAAAATGGCACAAGTAAAAATTACTAGATGATTGATGATAGAGAGGCTTATACTAGACTGATATTTCAAGTATTCAAGTATCTTCAGTAAATTTCTATTAGAGGCTCATAAACGTCACAATTGCTCAATATTCCAGTAATAAAATTCTATATTACCGGTAATGGTTGATAATAGGAAATGGTAAATGGATTAGAAATTGTTTTGGATAAGTTGCTTTTACTGTCTAGTGGGACTCTTGTGATTTTAGTCTTGAAAAATTTGCTGATGACCTGTTGATAGCAACTTTTTCCAGCGTGGCCAATACAGATATGAAATTGACTTGGACATCTCATTTGCGTTTCGTTGCAGGCTGGATAACGCCATCCTAATCCTTTCTGATTTTCATAATTAAGAAAATGAACTGTAATTTTGCCATGAAGATTTGCCGATGGCGATGACTGACAACCAACCTAACATAATCCACATTTAAACAAATGATTACGGGATCTAATTCCAAATTTAAGGTAATTTAATTTTAAGGAAATTGAACTAGCGAATTCATCATCACAGTTCATATAATTATTGATTATAAATTCATACAAAAGCGTAAAGTTGTTCATTTAATGCAGCCTGTTTTAAAACGATGGATTGATGATGATATCGTCAGCTAAATTGTGGTAAATTACGATTTCAAATTTAAATGATCGTCGGCATTAGGAAGCAAAATAACTTTTTTCGAAGCTTTTATCATACTAATTGCATTTTTCGAGATTACCATAAAGAAAAATGTAAAGCGGAAAACGATTGTTGTGAGAGGTATGCCGCGACAACCCTTTAAGCTGCATTAGTTAGTTTAATTTCTAGGATCTTATAAATTAGTAAGAAACTTATACTTCCTTTAAATGTAATCATACTAAAGCTATAATCAATAAAGAGGAAGTTTTATAATTTGATAAAGTAATATTCTATCTAATAGGTTAAACTTTCTTCCCCATAGTAAAGATTTTGTTCAATCACATTCTTATTACTACCTTGCAATTAGAACAAACCAAAGTCATGATTAACAAACCGGTAAACGTTCATTAGTTAGTAGGGTAATATTATTTGCAAAATCAGTTATGCTGCATCTCCAAAATAATATATTGATACTCTCGAAGTTTCAATCAAACTTAAAGCTACAATGAGTAAACTAGAAGTTGTCACAAAATTGTAGGACTAATGTTAGTTTAGGTCATAGATTATCTATTCCTTCTCTAAAATAGTGCACTTTCATTAATTATGTCTTAGGTATCCTTGAGATTTGATAAAGAGTGACATCTAATAAACTAGCAGACTTTTTCATTCATTGATAAGATAGTGTTATAAATAAAATAGGTTACTTTTGACTTTCTCTAAAACAACACGCTTGATGTCCTCATTAGTTAGATCGAATAAGTTGTAATTCATGCAAATTTCATAATGTGTGAAAGCAATATATTATATATTAGATTCATCTATCCTTCTCAAAGATAACGCATTGCCGTTAAATTATATATTTACTGCTTTTGAAATTAGATCATTCTAAAGTCCTATTTCAAAACTGAGGGATTAGATACACTAAAATTTCATGAAGTAGATTACTTCGATTCTCCCGAAAATAATGCGCTGTTCGATATTCACACCGTAAGATCGGTAGAATTGAAATCTGATCAAACAGACCCTATTCAATAAACCAGCAAGCTTTCCTTAATTAATAGAGTAATATTATTATGTTCTAAGCATCTTTAAATCATGTCTTAGACATTAAATTATAATTTGCTTCAACGTTTAGTCGTTTTTGGTCTGAAGAATTATAAAATACAGTAACGGCAGTTATAAGGATATCTTTGAAATGGGCTAAATTGATCTATAGCTACTACTATAGTCAGTTCAATTGAAATCAAATTTATAGTTAGTATCGGTCATTGGAAGTCTACAATATTCAAGAGTAAAATTTATATTGACACAGCCGATCGTTACATTTCATAATCAATCAAGTCAGAAATTTCATCAGGTGTTATGGCAATACTATACATAGTCTTATTTTATACAGTTAAAAATGAAAATGGCGGACATAATAAGGTCAAAATCGAATAGATACTTCAAACAAATAATGCTACAATGCTTAAGTACAGCTGTAAACAAAAATTAAAATCATGGGTAGAAGAATTTTTGTGAGTTACTTTTCCATTTACCTGTGCAGGCTGACAGAGCCAAATTACAGAAACTGCAAATATAATACTCAAAGTATACCCCAACATAATATCTTGCCAAGGAATGAGTGTCTGGAACTAAATGAACGGATTATATTATCAACGTTGAATAGAATTATAACGTAAACTTGCTGTGCTAGTTATAGTGTGTAAAAATGGAGATGATGGTACAAGTTACCCCTGGATTTGCTTGCGTCATATATGAAAACAATTACGGAGGCGAATCAATAACTCTAGCATAGGTTCAGGAATTCTCATTACCGATAAAATTTATATTTAACGTAAGTATGTAAAGTCTTAGTACCTCTTGTAACTATACATCATGTATCAAATAACTTTCTCTCATAATTATAATCCCTCCCTTTCACCGTATAGGAATAAATTGGATAGCTGTGTAGGAAGCAAGTAATGCAATCAATGCTGCTTTATTATTTTTAATATTAAAAATATATATCAGGTGATTGCTTAATATTTGAAAGAAAATTGGCTAAGCTACAAAATAAACAGACATAGCCAATCATGGTGTAGTGATATAAGCATCAAGTACCAATTAGAATATACAGTAAAATAGCATCAAAGTCTAACAGAGTGGTCGCAGTATCTTGTCATGAGTAAATACACAACTATCCCTGAACAATCGTCGAAATAGTATGATTGGTAAGTGAGTTAATTACTGCATTCCTATCTAGTGGGTAAAAACAGGATTAGTATTCAACAATTAAAATAATTGATAGTGCAAGTATTTCCGTTGGTATGCATTCAGTAATTGATACTTGTTTGAAGCTAGAATCAGCGTAATGATTGCTATATAATGTACATTCCACATTAATTCTATATAGTTCAAATTTCTTTACCACTGTCGCTACTACATGCATGTACTGACACATATGCGTATATGTAGGTGTACGTAATTCGGATCGAATGGAAAGAAATCGTAATGTAATGTTCAAGATTCGCATCCTTAACATGATAGAGTAAGAATAGGTATATTACTTTCATCAACATAAGCAAATACAGTAAATTGTACATATAGAATAGTATTAGGACCAAAAATTGAAATAGTATTAAGTTTTGATAACATAGTCCTGCTAGTAGTGGTACTAATTGATAATGATATATTGTAGTTGGCATATTTTAGACTTTATAAGTGCAGTGATCGTTATTCGATCTTCGAATCGTTGGTTGTACTAGATTATCTGAGATCTTGTAGTCTCATTTAGGGTTACATACATACTAATGTTTTCACAAAACGTAGAAACTATATCTTATGTTTTTAGCAAAGATTAAAAATTATAAGGAATTATAGAAACTGGCAAGATCATTCAATTTACATAAATAATGCTCTTAAAGTATGATGGATAGTGTACTACACTACACAATTGGAGAGTTAAAACTCATTCGTACTACTTCATTTCTGGATAACTGTTCAGCAGTTACGCCAACAAAATTGGGTAGATCAATAGCTCCAAAGTCATGGACTAGTATTGAAATTAATGAAGCATAACCACCGGCAGCAGCCATGTGAAGCGCTATAATTAAGACATAAAACATTCGTGCCACAAATAAATACGTATGAATATGATAAAAGCATTACGCATAAAGTGGACTATCCTATCATAAAGGGTAGAAATTATTTTACAGTTGAATATCTTAGTACGAGGTAATTACATTCATACGATAAATGTAAAAAAATTGCACAAGGCCCAATTCCGAACTTCTAGTAATCTTACTAAATATACCTGTATGGCCTCGATGATCTTGAGCATTGATTTTAATACCTAACAAGATTAAATTCTCGATGCATTCAAGTTGACCGTCCTAATTTAAAATCAAGTTGAAGAGAATTCTCGTAAAATGGGTTGTCAATTGGAGGACCGTTTCTAAAACTGTTTATTTTTCTGTTCTTTACTTCAAATTTGTGTGAAGTATTAATACATCTTAGTACTGCATTACATGGTAACAACATCAAAATAAATCTAACCTTAGCAGCACAATGTAAAGCTGTCTTGCCACATTTGGTTAAAGTATTAATAGCAATACGTAATTCACTATGAAGAAAATGAATCGATCTAATTGCTCCAGTATGTGCTGCTAGATGAATAGCTTCTCTACCCATGTTATCAGTAGCATGTTTATCTGCCTGATAAGTCAATACCAATTGCACATCAGGAAATTGTAGGATGTACAGTATAACGATATTACAGTAAACTGCATCTTGTTCTGGCTGACCTGATAATCCTGTGCGAGTGTTCTGGCTAAATTAACATGATCGCCTTTAATTGCATCCATAAATGGTGTGGTACCACAACGATCAGCTATATCAATTGGATAGCTACACCTGTTATCGACGGTTATGGTACAGAAATTATTTTAATACATTTTGCTAAAATTGTAAACTTTCGCCAATTATACTAAAAGATTTTATCATTACAGATATCCTAAATATTATATATACACTTTACCAAAATCTTTATTTATACTTATTTTACCTATCCAAGAGGATTTTAACAATTTCGAGGTTTCCGTGAAGAGCTACGATTACAAATTATAAGTCATGAAATATAAGGATAAAGGAGAGCAATTTTTAAATTAAACTAGTTCCGTTCTTATGGTAATTATCATATATTATAAACTTCACCGCAATCATTAGCATACCTGCCGTATGTAAAGGAGTTCTGCCATTGTTACTGGTATTTTGCCATATGCGATTATCAACATCTAGTAAGTAATTTATAATGTCAGGATTACCTTCCCTAAGAATAAGTATATCCCAAAACAAATTATTTCATTAGTTAATTTGTGGTGGCGACATATCTAACGATATAACCTTATTTCAAGGATATAATTGCTTATTCCATATAGACAGTGAAAAGTCTTGAGTTAATTGTTACAAATGTGCACAATAAAAATCTTAACTGTAAAGAGCATCAAATCTGCGATTAAAGTATTTATCTGAGATATTTTACACTACCGGCCCTAAAATCAATTATTAACAATTGAAAATTAAGCACCTGCAAGCAATATGGAAACAATTCCATTTATCTTTGTTGACCATTTTTGTATCCGCATGATATTCAATTAGAGTTTTTATAGTATCTATGTTTTGTTTGGTACATGCCAGCATCAAAGGTGTCCTAGTTGATTTTTAAAAAACGTTAAACATTTAAATAATTTTAACGTTTCGTCATGAAGCAACTGTAGGATACAATCGCACGAAATTATTGATAACTGCGGTTGAACTTAGAGGTAAATTTTGTTGTAAAGTTGTCGCAAAACACCATCCTTGACAAAAGCTCTTTAAAATTTGAATATCTACACCTTGAGTTACTTATCACAGCTTAATTTTTGACGGGCCGATACAAGTTCTACGCTTCGTTTATGTAGGGTTTACACGTTTTTATGGCCACGGATGTTTTTGCTAGTAATTTGTTAGTTAATACGACGTTAACGATTATACTGACTATAAGGGTTGGCAATGAATGAGAGGACGAGTTATCAGCTAATCCAATTTTCAATAAAGATGCATTATACTCTTCTAAATAGTCCCCCATATATACTGTATACTCGTATATAAAACATTCCTGAAACTGATGTTGTAATGAGTTGGCTAGTATCTTGAAGAGAATGTTTTACCATTTCTTTAGCTAAGTAAAGTTTATACCTAATCGCTAATTTTAGTTATTATATTTTACGAATAACTAGTAGGACAATGAGCCATTACAACTGATGTAATACCGCTGTAGGTGATAGAAATTAGATAGACAGACCATTATTATTAACTGTAACATTTTAAGCTAATCGTAGGTTAAATCAGTCGGTAGAAGAAAGCGCGGTTAATTATTCTCGATATCATCTGTTCGATGACTCAATAAGCTTTAACATTATCTAAAGTAATCTGTATGAGAAAATATGGCTATTATACAGCATCACCATTGATGTCATCTATTCCATTTACTTACCAATCTGCTCGCTTTAAACTATTAACATCGGCACCATATTGTAGCATGAAACGAACGCAAAGTGTATGCTCAAATTGGGCAGCTTCATGGAGTGGCTGTTTATTATCGTTGTTCATTTCAGTAAATGGAACACCATAGCCATGATAGAACAACTGCATTAGTTGTAAATGACCACATCGACTTGCTATAATCATTGGAGTATCACCCGATTTCTTTCTTTTGTAAGATAGCAACTTTTTACTATTTTGAGCATTGGCTAAGATAGTTTGGATAGCAGTGATGTTGTTATCTTGGACATATTTCATAAAACTTTCACCATCAACTTGCATTTTAATCTTTTTAAAATGGTTCCTATGGTACAAGATTGAGATTGTCAATTAGTCTTGAATTGATCATGGGATTAAGTACAAATTGGAGTACGTTGATTCATTGCAATTAATAAATCATGACGATTTCAATAATTTAGTAACTCTAATTAGTGATTACTTCCATCTTGGATTAAAAATCAATTCCATGTAGTATAATTGACATGGGGTTGGATTTAGTAGAAGAGTAGATGTCAAGCTTATGACATCCGTGTCTCTAGAATCGCCCGATCATTAAAGTGGATTAAATTGAGTACGCTAATAGGGACATTGGAGGAAGGACTACAGAGCTTGTTTCAGCTTTACATGTCCAGGGCGTGAGTGAGTAGTAGTAATTTTTAGATGAAATAGATAATTGTTAATACAGTACAACAACATGGAATAGTAGTGTTAAGTTTAAACAATCTATTACTCAATGATAAAAATCATTTTGGCTACTTTACTAGTAGTACGTTGTCTAGCCACTTCTAGATTAAGATTTTTATTGCTGAGGGCAATGGCAAAGGCGTCGAATCATGGCCATTAATTTTTTATTCCTACTGTATGTCGCTGCTATTGTTGACGTGATCGATCAATATAGAAATAGCAAAGAGAATAGGAGCTATTTCAATCTAAGATTGAAATCAAAGGCGTCGAATAATGGCCCTGATTTAATAATAAGATATTACGTTACAAGATCAAATCAAATAACGTTAGACTATCCACAATGTAGAGTTATCAAAACAGGATGAATTTTACATCGTCGATGGGCTTTTTATTCCCACTGCACGTTGCTGCTATTGTCGATGCGATCGATCAATTTAGAAATATCAATGAGGGTAGCAACTGTTTCAATCTAAGATTGAAATCAAAGGCGTTGAAAGACTGGCTCTGATTTGATAACATGACATTACGTTACAAGATCAAATTAATAACGTTAGACTATCCACATCTAGATGGATTTTATATTCCTACTGTACGTTGCTACTACTGTTGATTTGATCGATCAATTTAGAATAGCAATGAGGATAGGGACTGTTTCAACCGTTTCAATCTAAGATTGAAATCAAGGGCATCGAATAATGGCCATGCTTTGATAACATAATATTACGTTACAAGATCAAATTAATAACGTTAGACTATCTACAATACAGAGATATCAAAAACATGATGAATTTTGCATCGTAGATGGGCTTTTTATTCCTACAGTACCGCATGTTACTACTATTGTTGATGTGATGGATCAATTTAGAAATAGCCAAGAGAATAGGAGCTATTTCAATCCAAGATTGAAATCAAAGGCATCGAGTAATGGCCATAATTTGATCATAAAATATTGCATAACAAGTCAATGATGTTAAATTATCTACGGTATAGAGATCGAAATGAGGAATGATGAAATGGACATCATGGATATAATTTGATGGATTATTTTAGTTTTACTCCATTTGGATAGTACATCGACAATGGGAGTGGTTTTCATCCAAGATTGAAATCAAAGTCGTCGAATGTGGCCATGATTGGATGACAAGATATTACGTTAGGAGAGCAGGCCAATCGCCTAGGTTATTCACGATATTGAGATTGAAATTAGAACTTTCCAATTGTACATCGTGGATATACTGGCACAATAATAAGATGGATTTTTTTTTTTAACTTTACTGCGTGTCGTTGCTATTCTGATGATGATCTTTCCATTTGGAAATAGCATCGAGAATAGGAGTTGTTTCAATCCAAGGCAAGAGCTAAAGGTGATCACATTTCACAAGATTGGCAGATCCAATCAATCACGTTCGACTGTTCTGATCGATAGTCTATCGACTCAACATGATGGGTGGCGATGATATTTACATTTAGGATACAGACTAGAGACATTTTTACCTGGTTTGTCAACAATGTCCGGCTGCTATGGGATAGTTTGACGGCGTCCTTCAACCTGGCTAATCCGATGACAATATTGATCTTTTTGCTGCTTTAAGTTGTAGCTCTACCAGTAGGCATAGCGTGCTTCTGTTATGCTACTGTTATATGATATCGCTGTCGATCTGTTTTCTAGTGTGGAAAGGGAAGAAATTTCCTTTGCAATCCAATAGAATTCCCCAGGGTCAACAAGGCAACCAAATTGATCAATTGTAAACACCAATCCAAACGCACCTATGTAACGCATACAATAGTCCAAGATTTAGTCAAAAGCCAATTAGCAATGGCTTTGTTCGATCGCGTCCTACTCTATTCACTTTCATACGATCATTATCGCCTCCAGCTATCCTATTTGCACAGCTGTAGTCTAGTACTCGAGCTGAAAAGGTTGGCATTGGCAGCTAGTCCTGACGATCGAGTCTTCTTGTTGGCTACCAGCTGATGGCCATGGTGATGTTTGCGATATAGAGTAAGACTACTTCAATCGGTCCTGCAACATAGGATTGCACCTGGCTCATGTTAGATCTCAATATTTAACCATAGGATTACCCTTTATCGATATCATCCAACACAGTGGATATCCATACTTCTAATGATATGAATATCATCTTTCAACTTGGTGTGGCAGTGACTGAATATTGAATATTTTGCGTCAAGAACGAAATCAATGATATTTACATGATCAATCCTATACGAACAGATCGTTCTAGCTCCAACAACCCTACTTGTTTATCTAGGGTAGTAGTAAAACGTAAAAGTAGGTTTTCTTTTAAATGTACGGTATAGAGTGTTGAAAACAGTTTGAGCACATGATAATAGCATATACTGTTTTTAACATCAACTGGAGGTAAACTGCTTCCTACGACAGCACTAAACGAATAAGCAAGCATGACAGATACTGCAGAGCTCTACAGTGAGAATCTATTTACAAAACTAATGTCACCATAAATACCGAAGTCCAGCAATATGAAGCAATAGTTACATCCTTACAGCTCTTTAATCATATCCTATCGACATAAGCACATAAATGCCAGTACAAGGCATAATATCGAGCTGTCTACAAGTGGATGACTGCTGCTACAGGATGATAGTTTTATGATGAATTATCATAAAGTATGCGCTCAAGACAGCGATTTAGGTCCACTTTCCCGATGACTTTCGACAGTAGGCACTATGTGACACTATTTTTGCGACTAATTTACCCTACAGCCGTATACACAGTACAATATGATATTTGACTCAGAGTTGTTCATAACTTGACAACTGATGAGTGATGACTGAATGTTTACTGTTAGAGCTAGCAAAACTTATGTCGCTCTCGGTACCTATAATTATTGCCTACAGTATGGCTGCAAGTGAGTCTGTTTACCGGTGACAACATTATTGCGTAGAGATAAAGTGAAATTTCTCCTCAATTCCGTTCCCTACTCTAGCAAAATGAAGCAATAGTTACATCATTACAGCTCTTTAACCATATGCTATCGACATAAGCACATAAATGCCAGTGCAAGGCATGATATCGAGCTGTCTACAAGTGGATGACTGCTGCTACAGTATGATAGCTTGATGATAAATTACCATAGGGCTCTTTAATCATGTGTTATCGACATAAGCACCACATAAATGGCCGAGTACAAGGTGTGATATCGAGCTGTCCATAACTTGATGATGACTCCTGCTCCTGTACTGTGCACAGTGAACTGAACACTCTCACTCAGTGTACAGTATAACTTTGACGATAGTAGATCCTACAGTATGATAGTTTTATGACGAATACCATAGCATATATACTATCTTTATAGCTCACGACGGCGATTTAGGTCCACATTCTCTAGTATAGTCAAGGGAAGTGTGCAAAATAAGCTGCTGCACTATCAATGCTGTACTATAACCTTCTTAAATTACAGTACACCACCATATTGCAAGTTTAGCTTGTGCTAGTATGCACGCATAACCAAACCGACAGTGAGTTCGAGCTCCAGTTGTAGCACCAAGCTCTTTGGATTCCTGCTCCAACTTTGATTTATGACATCATGTTCAGTATAGACAGGTATTACGACGTGACTTGTAAAATGGATGGAGCAATTGATCGTTTGTACTGGGGAAATTTGAAAGAAATAAAAATTGCAATAAAAATTAAATAAATATAGCAAGAGCCAATTGGTATCTTCGGTTACCAAGGCTACTGAGAGACTGATGGACAGATTAATATTTCAATGCATGCAGCAACCAGTCCGAATTACTACCATTTCTTTCCATTAATCGACTACTGTCAAGGTTGGCCTCAGGTTGCTGCTCACTTCTCTCGCAATTAAGCACTCTAAACATGTCTGCCAAAGTCGGTGCTGCTATATTTTTAGTCTTTGTAGGCTGTGGATGTAATGTAATCACGTTAGAAATGATGATTAAGTAAGTATCTTCTCATTATTTTGTCACCATGGACGAATGAGAAGTCGTACATATTATCTTGATTAATCTATCTTTCCTATCTTGCCATGAGTGTTTATCTTTCATGCTTTGCTTGGTCATGTTGTTATATTCATCCTCTAGGCTAGATAAAGGTGCTGGAAACTTAATTACATTCAGTCAGTTTCTTTATATTGCTGTCCAAGGTTTTATATCTACCTCAAAATTCGGCCGAATCAAACCTGTCGTTCCTATTTCGTAAGTTCTAGCAGTTATACTGGTATATATTTTTTCATAACTTATGGATGAATTCATTTCCTCCTACCTTCAAAATTCCCCATCTGGAACTGTTTGCATTACTGTTTGCAGCCAGTTCATCTTGATCAATCCTTTTAGTAACAGGATTGAGTGTAGTTTTATCGTTATTCTCATAGAGCACTGGCTATACTTGTATTAAACATGACGTAGCAATAAATCCTCTTATATGAAGTTACAAATTGATGATACGCGTATTCTGCTATTAGACTACGCCGATTGCACAGTGTTTCTGTGATTGCTCTGCTCATCATTTAAGTCAACTCGTCATTGCCATCCTCTAGATTGAGAAATAGGGATTGTTTTTGGTCATCGAAACTGTAAATACTGTATAGAGGCATCCTCAAAAATTAGTTGCTATCACGGTTCTGCTCTAGTTTCGTTACCCAAGCGACAAATGATTACATATAGAAGAGTATGCAGTAGTAGGGCTCTATGTTACTCTTTCCATTATTATCATTTGAACGAAAATGATTGCAGTAGTAGCGATTAAATTTAGAATGAATTAAAAGTAATCACTTATGAATCGTAAACTAAGCTATGCAGGGCACTTTTAACCAAATTAGTTGAGCGATTGATTCAAATTAAGATTGCAGTAGTAGCGATTAAATTTAGAATGAATTAAAAGTAGTCACTTATGAATCTAAACTAAGCTATGCAGGACACTTTTAACCAAGCAAGTTAGTGTGAGTGATTGATTCAAATCAATTTTGAAACTTGTAGATCACTTACATTTTTACATCATCACTAGCGCCATCATCATCCTAACGGAAAACTATATGGCAATGGAAGCAATTTATTATAATGAAGTGCAGCATTGAGTATTTTGTAATCGGTAGATCAAAATGACCTCATCTATCATCTCTAATGCTGTTATCGTCTAAACTAAAACGGAAGCGATTAATTTGAATTGATTATAGTTACTTGTAGATCGTTCTACCGTTATACTCGTAGACAATCTGTTATAGTTGAAACTGTAACATAATTGAAGATGTCATTAGTTTCAATTAAGAATTATCAAAATTACTTTATACCAGGTATTATCATCGATAGCTCAACTTGAGTAAAACCATTACTCGTAGGCAATAGATAACTAATACAGCATCAACGCAACAATATAGCTCTGGCTTCCAAGATACTGAAATCAGGAGATTAAAAAGGAAATGTGCTGCTTGATAGTTCTAATAAATAGATAGCAAATTTTGTCATTCCTGTCGAAGGCTAATGTTTCACAGACTCCTATTGTCTTACACTTTAAAAAATATCTTATATTAAGCAATTTTATGTACAGCACGAATAGAATATTGAATGGCTATGATGATATTTACCATAGAGGTTTACCCTTTGCTACTGTTGTGCATAATTGAGTAATCCATATTAGTACTGCTCTTGAAGTATTTGTACACTACGTATACACTGTAATCCATTATATGGCTTGTGCAAGCACCCAAGTAATAAGATCAAAAATGCAAATTGAATTCAGTAGGATTATATATAAGATCATACAACAGTTATCAGACCATTTTACATGTAGTAGTTCTCACAGTAAATTAATATATGAAAGCTTTCCTTATAATCATACTAACGAGACGAAAAAGTTAAAAGTATTCTTGTCAACTCTTATCTATAAATATCCATTAGGAATAGATAAAGAAACTAAAAATCTGTAGCGTGGATTTCACAAATAGGTCCAGAATATCATTATTTGTGCTTGATGATCTTATTGATTCAGTTTCTATGTGGGCTTATGTGACTCAATCTAGGGCATACATATTCGTGGATCTGCTATTCTTCTGCACTAGCGTCATTAATAATTATGCGCTTAGTTTCAGTATACCAATACCGTTGCATATCATCCTTAAATCGGTAAGTAGACTTTAATTTATTTTTATTGAAATCTTCATTATGAAATGCTTGCTTTGGCCTATCCATAATTATTTAAACGATGATACTTTGATAATTTTCATCGAAGTCAACATTATTAGATAAGATTATTATTACAGTAGCATTGTATCATAAATAATCATAATTATTCCTATACATTATACAGATGTGTAAGTGTATAACGTTGCATATGTAATACAGAGTGGTTATAGAAGTGAAGTGATACATGATGAAATATCTTTTGAAGTATGAAATGTTAGTATTGATCTTGCTATCGTCAAATATTATCAGTATAGTTATGTGAAGGAGATATAGTATTCACCACTTCGAACAACAACACAATAAATTATGTACAGTAATGCAATTGAAGTTGCACGAAATTATAGGTTGTACCAACATTATAACTAAAGCAGATATAACTACATTCTTCAAATCTTGTAGCTCACTTGAATGTGTGTCATTCTCATAGCTAGATGTAAATTAGAGAAAAATACTAATGATTACATTAATTTTAATTCAAAACTAAACTCGGTCTCAGCGATTTCAAGTAATTTAATTTAGTCGTCTTTAACTTTTGTTTTATTTATTACCGTAAAAGGGATCTCTGCTGGCAAATATGACTTTAGGAATACTACTTTTGAAGAAAAGCTATTCAAAATCTACATATGCAGCAGTAGTTGCAGTAACTATCGGAATTTCTATGTGCACAATGGCCTCTGTATCAGCCAAGGTAAGTTTTCAAAACAATTATCTGAAAGAGCACGTACCAGATTTATTAACATGTATCGTCCGCTATATCTACGCCTAGCGTAGATATAGAGTTGTCAAAATCTTCAAAATTACGACCAACTATATCTAATATTGTATGCTTGCTGTTAGACTAATAATGTTGACTGCAACCATAATAAAATCCAGACATTCGTTATAAAGCCTACTAATCTTTATTGGCTTTATGAACCTAATCTTTTAACTACGAGTTTGAAGTAGTGAAATCATGAATTATCCAGACATGAACAGACTTGGATATCTTAAACTAAGTATAATTATTCATTCTTTGCATAATCTTGACATCATCCAGACAGCAGAGGCTAGTGACAAGGCACAGATTGACTCAGACTTACATGAAATGACGATTGGTAAACTACAATTATCATATAGTACATGAGGCTTCGTGAAATTAAAGCTTGATATCGTAAAATTTAAATTATCCGTACATAGGAACAATCATGGTCTTTATTGCATTATTTACGTCCGCTTACTTAGGTATTCAACAGGTAAACTTAGTCTTAAATTCCGTACACTGTATCTGTGTAATTTCTAAACTTACATTCCTATACACAACATATTGAAATAGAGCCTTAAATACTTTGTATTCATAGGAGCAGTTATATAAAAAATACGGGAAGCATCCAAAGGAGGCCTTGTTTTATACGGTCAGCTATCAATTATTTCAGTTTATCGATTTTCCTTGCTTTCAAGTTGCAAAAATTTTACGTTTTACAATACGATTTCGTATCTTAATATTATAAATATTTGATCAATAAAATTGTTACAGCACTTACTACCTTTGCCTGCGTTCTTGTTGCTACAAAGCGATATCAGGCATCATATTAATATATTCTCACAACCACGTAAGTACTAATTATTATAGATGCTCATTAATTTAATTATAATCTTAACTATGACATTCTTTCTGTGGAATAATTTTCGATCGTTGCTACTATTTATCGTTATCTTTATTAATATTTTTTACTGTGCGTAGCCTATGCGAATTTTTCCTATATGCCTGAAAATGGTTTCACAATGTTATGGTTCCTGCTATTTTGCAATGTTATCACTCAATATCCTTTTAATGTTTAAAAATTTACCTTGCTGCACAATTTGTATAATTTATCGCTAAAGCAACGTTGCAGTTTGTGGCAAGCATGGCTTAATTAATAAATTAGGTATCAGCAATTTTATTTTTCATATTGAATATCTAATCGTAATATTTCCTTAACTTTATGTCTTTTATGAAATCACGTATATCTGTATTCGTTCCGTTTTTGTGCTGACTTCAGAATGTTCCTCGCTAACTGTTACTTTGGTGGTAACTTTACGTAAATTTGCTAACTTGGTCATCTCGGTGTTATATTTTAATAACCCATTTACACTGTATCATTGGCTTGGGACAATTCTTGTATTTGGAGGTAGTCTTGCTTTTTTTCAAGCATCACGAAAGGCAGCTTCCTCATCACAAGAACAAAGTAGCACAAAGGACGCTACCGTTACAAAGTCTAAGAGTGATTAACATTTTGCGAAGAACTTATTCGTACATATGAGAGTATAGGTATATTCGCGCACCACGTATCTGCGTTTTAGATAACAGCGGATGATATCCTTGTGCTAATTAATAACGTCTCATGAATTTATCCCGTATTAATTTATGGCTTTGTAATTCTTATGAAAAAATGTTAAAATATAATTTCTTTCAATAACCTTTTGTGCAATGATCATGATTGTCACTAAACTCTTCATCATACTTTTATTTTGAGGGTGCTAGCATTCTAGTTAACTTTTATTATTCGTAGTCGATCGTTACATTACCTTATCTGAGACGTTGTAAAGTTAGAATGGGTGTGATGTAGGTATCATTCATCCGCTATAAAGTTATAGCGTTACCCGTAGGAAATATATAAATTAACTTTTAGGAGTATTCACGATATTATCAAGCTACTTCTTGACTATTATTTTACATTGATTTCAACTTGAAATATAAAACTATTTATCGCTAACGAAACATTACTGAAGCATTTACCTTGTCTTCCGGTGGATATTTTAAAGCGGTATATTTGATTAGTAACAACGGATATCGAATAAAATGTAAACATTTTATTCAAATACTGGATGTTCTCTTGTAATGACGCCTGCAGTAAAATGCAATTAATTGTTGTTCGCGATCCCTGATGATACATTATCGTCACTAAGGAGTGCTTAACTGTTTATAAATTATCATTTTTTATCCTGTTAAACCTAATTGTTACTAATAAATGTTTGACGATTTTCATATCAAAAGGATTCTTTTTTTCATAACAATGCTTTACCTACGTAATTTGACTGAATTTGACATCAATCGTTTGCAAACATACCAGTCTGAGTTAACTATTTCGGTTATGGCTTTAATCATACAAACCGAGGTTTGCAACGAGGGATTAAACCTATAAGCTAGCTGTTATGTTCACGCAATGAAATTTATCGCTGATACGATGACTAATATGTAATATTAATTATCAATATTTAGTGTAGATATAGTTCTTTACATAGTGCAATTGCTTTAAATTAGTAATTTGTACTCGAGTATGACTGCACAAAAATAGACAGTTTTTAAGGCCTGTGTAAGCTAAGATAGCAGAGAGAGAGCTACATTGATCGATGAGTTTTTGTCTAGTTTTGATCTTGTTACTTGCTGGTAATATATCTGTTTTGATTTAGCTTGTGTTCAGTTACTTGTTGGTAACTTCTGATTTTTTTCTAACTAAAGAAATTAGATATATTGACGGATCTACAAATTTGGTCATTAATAATTACTATAACTCCACAGTAGCTATTAATTAGCTCTGTCCTCTTCGACAATTACGACTCCAATTATTGGCGATCTTCTTTCGTTAGGAGACCATAGTAACGATAAGTTTCTATCAAGACTGACCATGACATCTAAACTTCACTGAAATATAGATTACTGCATAAGAATTTCCTATTACGTAATAGTTCGTATCATAATTTACTGACAAATATACTTATTATGCAAGCCTCATGCAATTTTATTCCCAGTACAGTCTATTTGAGCTAACGAACTTAAGCCGTGGCTTTAATCCTTTTATTACTTCCTGAAACCATCAATAACAACGTATCAATATATTGCGGTGCTAGAATACTACGAAAAGCGAACTATGGTACGTGTTATTAATTGTTACGGAGTAACTTTTGCGTAGTTGTCGTAATTAAATAAGTAATGACACAATACTTAGTGTTTAAGAGTAAATCTAAGTTTGGCATTTCAGTAATGTACGAATGGGCTAGGAGATTACTTATAAATGAATAGGGTAGGGCCACTAATATTATTGATGTCTTATAAAATTGTAAACATATAGCATATCATCGCAATTTAATTGAATATTATTCTTTAAAATCGAATTGGACTCAAAATGCTTTAAAATGATTTAATCTGTTACTAAAATTTCTCAGATGTATTCTACGTGCTTACTTAAAGCTTAAATAAATTTATATAAATGGTTAGGATTCAATAAATTGTAATATGCTAATTTAGTACAGCAACACATAATAACATTATTAAAATACTATCATGAACCAAAGAAAGGTTAAACTAAAATTAAGTTAGCTCCAGATTATCTTATGTGCCAATTTAATTATTAAATTCTATAGAAATGGAGAATCTATTGATTTAAGAAAACGAATAGAACATTTATGAATTAATTAGAATTCATTTTACTTGATAGCATATGCAGCGCTGGTATAACGTTGCATTATTTTGATAACTTTGATCCATTCACATAAAATTTCTTAACGGAAGTTTTATTTAAATAGAGTAGAAAAATAAATGATGATTAAATTGTTTGTCTGTGCTACTAGTACAGCCTGCATAATATACACTAAAGAAATTCCTGTTTTTACTAGATGAATAGAGTTGGCATATGATTTTAACTTTCCCTAACGGAACCAATTAATGACGCCGTTTTGATATTTCTTTGATATGATTTATTACCCATAATAATAATTCTATTAAGACTCATAAGTTTAAAGAACCCTATATCAAATACTAAAATTTATTTCATTAAATCAGAAACAAGAAACTAAATCAATCAACGTTCATTATTCTTATTTGGTAACTACAATTTTGCAATTGTTTCTAGTATAACTATTACCATGAATAGTGTATTTATAATAGCAATTTAATGAAATGCAATCATTTTAACTTGGTCATAGAAATGAGTTGTATATATGTTCTATAAATTATAATTATTGGATTAATTGATAAATTAATTGATAAATTGAAAATTTGGCAATATTGCTCTAATGGCCACGTAATACGAAGGTATAGATCTTTTATTGGTAATTTTAAACTTGTGATTTATGAATGACATCCATTCCGTAGAAGATGATCACAGGTATTGATTACCGGTCTTTATTATTTGACGCGATCACAAATTTAGGATACAATATCAACCTATGTTGCCTATTGAAAGCCCGGCAGACAGAGACGATCTCAGGCAACCTAAATATTATTTCATGGATAAACCTCAAAGCTGATAAAATGATCTAATTGTGACTAAGTCATAAAGCGTTATTTCTATTTGTTCGAATTGCGTAGGTGCTATTTAGAACTTGATAAAATGATAATAGTATAACATTTATCGGAAAGGAAGTATATTAGCCCTTATGGTTAGTCCCAGTTTTAATGAGAACTAACTGACATCATTTATTAACCATTTAGTAAAATAAATAGAAACTGAAAAATATTGATGAAATTATCAAATAAGGTAGCCAAAAGATGCTTATTTTACCCTTTTTATTAGGAGAAATCTAAATAATAGCACATTTCTGATCTAATTCCTATCATTTATTAATTAAACATTCGGTACTGTCCGTCTCGACTTGTTTAGATGTGATTAGTTTTTGATCTACGAACATATCATTGAATAAATATCCTAATAAGAGATTGTTATTGTACGTAGACTTGAATGTAATTTAGAAAAATATTTTTACAATGGAATCGAAAATAAAAAAAATATGACTAACACTCTTCTGATGCATAAAAGATAGAAACACCGATAAAATTAAATGAGCAAAAGCTACTCTTATATTTTAGAAGCTGACAGGATTAGAATTATATTGCATTCGCTTTAAAGTGACATCAAATAACACTTCTGATTAATTCATATACTTTGATTAATAAAAAGCAATGTAATCTGATAGTCTGATTGCTAGATTATGGTAAAGTTTGCTATTTTTTTCTCACGTAAATGCAAGTTGGAAGATAAAATTGAATTAACTGGAAAATTACTGAAGTTTGAAAATTTGATTTTATATCACAGTATTTTAAGATATATCCGAAAATTGATTAAAAAAGCTCATAAAGAATATTTATTATACATGAACCTGTAACGTCTTCATTGATTCAAAAAAGTGCGCCAGCAGTAATTTAATACTCATAAACTAGAAAAAAAACCGAAAATGAAATTCTATTTACGTTTTGGTATTAAAACAATATCGTAAAATACTTCCCATAAATGCATAGTTATCATATGCATCTATAAAATCTTATCTATACAAGGAAAATATATCATTTATTTTTTATTTATTTATTTGAGTGCAAGGCTACATATATCTTAGTAACTTTAAACTGTGAATAGTTCGATCCTTTCATGTTGTTGAATAATTCGAGGGTAGGGCTCTTGTACTAGTTCTGTCGTCGCATCGATATTGTTATCCATATTAGATACTAAACACTAACAAAAGAAGACTACATGATGCCGCGCACAAATAACTAAGAAGGAATTCTATTACGCTTAGTAAAGTTCGTAATATGCTTAAATACCACCTACACTATTCCTTAATTTTACGATATATTTTTCATTACTTTTCATTTTAATACAGCTAAAAATTTTCAAAACCTTGTGTTAGTTACGTGAATATCAGCAATACTTTAAATAAGAGACAAATTATCTGAAAGTAAGTAATTGGTAATTGTTACTTAACTAAACTTGCCTAATCTATACTAATTAGATTATATTAGGTTGAAGTCCTGCTGACTACTAATTGCTAGATAAGAAATTATTTGACTGTTACTATAATAAAACAGA